CTGTAAACCGCTTAGAGAGGGCTGAAAGCCCTATGAAGCGGTATATATAAGTCTAACTGCTATTGCTATTGCTATTTTTTTTCACACGACCGTTGCAGCATTCCTGTGGTTGCACGATTTCTCTTTGGAAGCTTGACAACCGGTTCATATTTATGAACTTCGCAGCGTCCGGGGTCCTGTGATCCCCTTTTGCAACCTTAGTCCAAGGGCAAGTCCAATTCCCTTAAGAACTGTGGGACCCAGAGGTGGTATTCAGCAGGTTCGGACGGGAGCGGAAAGTTTGAGTAGTTTAAAGAACCGGTAAATACCACCTGACTGGCCCCATCCCCATCTATTCTCTGCCTCCCGAGTCCCAGCTGATCGGGAAGAAATGGAGATTTTGCAGTATCCTTCCCCTGCCACGCCCACAAAGCCACGCCCACAAAGCCACATCTTCAGAACCCATAGTAAAAAATTTCGAATCCCACCACTGGCGTGACCAAGTTAACATCTGAAGTGGTTCACCATTTGTCGAAATGGGGCAAAGGTCACTTAAGGAACCTCTCCATGTAAATTTGGGGTGCCGTTGTGGTCGCCAAGTTGAGGACCGCCTATACACACACAGTGTTTGCTCTGGAGGTGGCGTTTCCCAGGAGGGGCTAGGAACGAGGCAGCTCGTACCTCGACACCCTTCTCTTCGCTCCCACAGGTCTTACGGGGCATGAGTGCCGGGGCTCGCGTGTTTCAGTTCATGAACATGACGCCGGAGACCCCTCTGTGCGAGAGACAAATGCTCACCTGCAGCATGCTGAACGGGCATCTCGAGTTCCGGGATGTGACCTTCAGGTGAGACTCAGAACCGAAAGGCTCAGGGGCTGCAAGGGGAGATAAAAATGGATACGAAAAATATCTCAGGGGCCAGGGCTCCCAACTTTTGTGGCCAGCGGTAGAGGCAGGGAGAGAAAATGGTTCCGTACGAGTTTTCACTGCTGGCACATATGGAACTGTGCGTGTGAGTACCTGCCACTTGCACAAATGGAGATATACGTGAGTGCAAATGGAGCTGCTCGTGTGAGTGCCTGCCACTCAACGGAAGTGGAATTGCATGTACGAAGAACAGCCACGTGCTCAGACGCAGGAATACCGCCACTCACGCGAAAGGAGCTGCAAGCACGAGCCCCCTCAGCTCCAGCGTGTGCGAACCGGTTGCGATCAGACCACGGCAGAGAAGGAGGGGAGAGGAGAAAGAAGGAAGATGGAAAGAATGGGAGGCAGACGGAAGTCTAACCTGTTCAAGCAGGAGACCCTGACAGAATGATAGAATGACAAAGTTGGAAAGGGCTCTTGGAGATCATTTAGTCCAGCCCCCTGCTCAAGCAATCTATCAGAGCTGGAAGGGATCTCAGAAGTTCTTTTAGTCCAGGAGTTCCCCAACCTCTGGGACATGGATTGGTTTCCAGGCCCCAGACTATTTGGACAGAACCGGTCCTTGGTGTCAGAAAGATTTGGGAAGGGGGTAAATGCTTTACCAAAAAGCAGGGTGGTGGGCCTCAGCTCTCACCCCTAGCCCTGATGACCTCTCTTCCCTCCCCCCGCCCTCTCAGTTATCCCACCCGGCCGGGCTACAAAGTCCTGGAGAACTTCAACCTCTCCATCCCCGCGAACAAGATGGTGGCCATCGTGGGGCAATCCGGCGGCGGTAAGGCTCCCTCCTTTGCCTAAGAAGGGGGGCTGGATCCTCGGGGCGGGGGGCACTGGGTTTTTTGAATTTGGCGTAGTGGCAAAGGATACCTCTTTTTTTTTTTTTAATAACCGGGTCCTCCAGCTCAGTCGTTCTGCAGTGTGTGTGTGTGTGTGTGTGTGTGTGTGTGTTTGTGTTTGTGTGTGGAGGAGGGATTCCGATCCCTTATCACAATTTCATTTGTATCCCTTTGTCCATTCCGTGTTAGCAATTGGCTGAATGGATACATCCTTTTCCTCTGCTCCTCCTCCTCCTCCTCCTTTCATCCCTCCATCTACCTATCATCTATCTTATCATTCTATCTATCAATCATCTACCTAGCTACCTACCTATTATCTGTCTTGTCTCTATCTAATCTCTCTCTCTAATCTATCTCATCTCTAACTATCACTTATTCTCTCTTCCCGCGTCTTTCCCTCCCTCCCTCCCTCTCACTCACTCTTTCCTTCCTCTTCCACTAATCAGATCCCCTCCCTCCACTCTTTCTCTCGCTTTCTCACATCTTCTGGTTCTCCTCCTCTTTCACATCAATCCACCCATCTATTTTCCACTCCTCTTCCTCTTCTTTTTCATCCATCCACCCATCCATTTCTCTCTTTTCCTGCCCTTTCTCATTCAGCCCGCCAGAAAGACATTTTCCCCTCCCCCTCCTTTCTCATCCACCCACCCATTCATTTCCCCCTCTTCCTTCTCCTCCTCCTCCTCCGCTTTCTCATCCACCCACCCATCCATTTTCCAATTTCCCTCCCCCCACCTCCATCTCCTCCCCCTCTTCCTCCAAAGACAGGGCCCTTTGGACCGTGTCCATCTTGTCTCTCTCTTTCTCTCTGTCCTTCAGGGAAGTCCACCGTGGCGGCTCTGTTGGAGCGCTTCTACGAACCCACCAAGGGGACCATCTTTCTGGACGGGCGGGATATTTGCACCCTGGATGCTTCTTGGCTCCGGGGAGAAGTCATCGGCTTCATTAACCAGGTACGAAGTCAGGAGGCCCGGAATGGGAAGGAAAAGCAACCGACTCATACGGATGACGGTCGCGGCATCCCCAGGCCTCACCTGACTGAAAATTTAGATACTCGGCCACCAACTTGTATTTACGACAGGTTGCAGCGTCCCGAGGTCAGGCGATCCCCCTTCGGCAAGGTTCCATCGGGCAAAGTCAAGGGGGAAGCCTGGTTCGCTTAACGACCGCCGCTCTTGTTGAACAAGGCCTGCGATTCACTTCAGAGACGTATGACTAGCTATGCGGCTGCGGCGATTCACTTAACCGCCATGGCGAGAAAAGTCATACAAAGGAATGTCTCGTTCACTGACCTTAACACACACACACACACACACACACACACACACAGCTGTCTCTGTTTCAGGAGCCGGTGCTGTTCAGCACCACCATCATGGAGAACATCCGTTTCGGCAAGCCCTGCGCCTCAGATTCGGAGATTTACGCGGCTGCCCGGCTGGCCAACGCCGATGAGTTTATCCGCAGCTTTCCAGATGGATACAACACGACTGTGGGTGAGGGAAGCATCTGNCCCTCCCTCCCTCCCTACACACACACACACACACACACACACACACGACAGATTCAAGGAAGGACTGAAGACAGTGCTTTATCTATCTATCTATCTATCTTTTATCTATCTATCTATCTATCTATCTATCTATCTATCTATCTATCTATCTATCTATCTATCTATCTATCTATCTATCTAATCTCTCTCTCACCGCTCTCTCTCTGTCTCTCTCTCTCTTTCCTGTCTGACTGGCTATCTATATTTATCTATCAATCCATTTATTTGTCTGTCCATCGGTCCACCCACCCACCCATCATATCGATCAATCGGTCAGTCTGTCTATAATCCATCCACCATCTACCTTTATTTCATCATTTTCCTATCCCCCAGGTGCCCTCCCCAGTGTTTACAAAGGAAAGCAGGAGGGATTCCAGGAGGGGTTGAAGACCCCCAACTCCATAGATTTATTTATTCAATCGGTGGGTTGATTGAGTCAACGTAGGGGCCACTTGGCCAGAAACCGCAGCTTCCTTCATGCTCCTCTCTCCTTCGAAACTCTTTTCTGTCTGGTGCTTTCGGTCCTCCTCGGGGCAGCCCGCCCCCCGATTTGCCTATGGGACCGGAGGGGAGGTGTTTTGGGGCCCCCGGCTGCGTCCGTCCTCCAAGCCGTCTTCTTTTTGATGGGAGGGCAGTTGTGTTTCCCTTTGGCGCAGGGCGGGACCTGCTTGTTCATGCCTTCCTTGGATTTATCCACACCAAGCTTCTTTTTCGGTTGCTGGAATTCTGTGTTTTTTTTGGCCTGCTTAAAGGCGCCTCCGGCACCATGCATTTCAACTGTGAGCACCCCTCTGGCATCTTCATCAGAGGGAGCATACAGGTTTCTGTGGGGGGCAGAGAGAGCCAGTTGGAGTTGGAGCTGTCGGTCGCTCCCAAGCCCCCCCAGCTGCCCTCCCCCACCTCAAGACCCTCCCCGCCTCCCCACTCATATCTCCCCACCACCTCAAGGGACACCCACTGCCCCCCCCACGTCCTCCTCGCTCACCCACAAACCCAGTTCTCCCCAGCTACCCTCCCCACCTCCCAAATGTCTCCCACCCCCTTACTCAGCCCAAGGAGAACCCCTAGTGGTCCCTCCCACTGCTCCCCCTCCCCATAACTGCTCCACCACCCTGAGCACATGGGAAGGAAACATAAAACCAAGGATCGCTCTCCATATCAAACCGAGTCTCTGCACCACGTTTTCTTTTAGTCTACCCCCACCCCCTCCTAGAGGTTGCTTCCTTCTTCGGCGTAAACTGCCTCTCTCCTTTCTCACAGCACGTCTGAAGTTCCTGCTTCTGATTTATTCTTGTGTTCTTCATTATCCTTCTAATGGCTTTCGTACCTAGGGCAGGAGTAGAACTCGCTCCCTCTGCCACCTCCAAAAGCCAACAGCAGTGTCTCAAGGGCCACAGAGCCGGAGCAGTGATTTCAAGGGTTGCTCTGGCCCTCCAAATACTTACCCCAGGTTCAGTTGGCCATAGGGAGCATTTCCCTGGTTCCTGGAACCGGATGAATCGTTGTTATTCAACCTCCATATGATTCCCACAGTCACCACCACTGCCACCACGACGATTATGCCCACAATCCACTTCCAGCTTGCCATAGCTCCTGCTGGCCCAGGAACAGGTGTTGTGTAGTTGTGCGAGAGACCCTGCTCGTTCCTGCTTTTTAACTCCTGCCTCTAGGCACACCTGGCTCGGGGGAATCGGGCGGGAAAGAGGCAGGCATGTTGAAACAACGATCTCTCTTTTGATAGCCTGGGATGGGGGGGGATCAAGGAAATGATTCGTTTGTTTTCCTGAGAACTGATGAATCCACTGAACTTTTTACCTCTAGAAGTTGGCAAGTGCTCCAACACCGGGGGATTCCGAGAAGAGACTGGAGAGCCGTTTGTCTGGAATGCTAAAGGGTCTCTCGCTTGCTCAGTGGGTTGGACTAGATGACCTCCCAGGTCCCACCCAACTCTGTCATTCTGTAAGGGTCTCCTCCTTGGATGGCCTAGATCAGGGGTCACCAATCCTTTGGACCTCAGGGACCACTAAATTCCTAATTTTAAATCCTGCAGACCACTAAGAGGATCCGCCTAATGACCGGTTGGGTGGGTGTGGCTAGGTGGGCATGTGATTGGGTGGGCATGGCCAACTTGAAATCACTCATGTCGAGGGGCGCCTCGTCGGCTTCTACTCACCCCTCCCAGCCCCTCCTTGCCTGCCCACCAAAGCTCCTTAGGGCCCCAGAAGGAAGCAGTTGNCCCTGTTCAAGTGTCTGTTTAGCGTACAGAAATGGAGCTTCCGGGCCATGGACCGATACCAATCCACATCCCAGGAGTTTTGGACCCCTGCTCTAGTGGCTGTTCAGCGCGAAAATGGAGCTTCCTGTGGCATCGGAGGCCCCTGTTTCCAAACGGCCCACGGCACAGGAGTTGGGGAGCTGTTTAACGGGACACAAGGCCGTTGGTGACACTGTCAGCTCCCCGTTCAGTGCAACCAAACAAGAGAAAATAAGTCTCGATCATCAGTGGTGGGAGGGTCCAATCCCCTTCCCCTTCAATTCTGGGCTTGTGACTGGGAATTTGCGAGTTCGCTTTCCAGATCCGGTTTCCCAAAACCCACCTTTTTTTTTCCTTTTTCCAGGCCGGGACCCATTCGGAGCTTTTACGAAAAGGCGGCATCTACGCGGAGCTTTTCCGCCGGCAAGCCAAGGACATCTGAAGGAGGAGGACGTGCCGGTTGGTTGGCTGGATTCGGAGCGCCCCTCTCTATTGTGCCCCTCCCTGCCCTCTTTCGCTTGGCCTCCAGCCCCACCCGAGCTGGTTGCTTGGGAAAGGCCCAGAGCCCGTTGCTCTGGGATGCTCTGTTGTCAGTTTTCAGGGAACGCGGCTTTCCTCTTGTCCTGCGGGGAAGGAATCCGTGTGCAATTTGACACTTGAAGTTTTTTTTTTTCAAATACAGCCTTTTTGGGTTTGGACCGGTGGTGTGTCGCCTCTGTTTTACGTGTCTGTGTCTGTGTGTCTGTGAGTGTCAAAAGTCATGCTTTTAAAGGAATGCTGGCTACAACAAGGCAGATGTATCGGTGGGCAGCAGAGTGTTGAAATTTTAAAGCTGGGATGGCCGGACCTCCAATCTCTACCCACTGCATTCAGGAGGCTTCAAATCCTTTACACCAAGAGTGTCAAACTCAAGGGCCGCTGGCCGCATCCCGCCCTCAGCGTGCTTAAATCTGGCCTGCGGGGCCGGCCTGGAAATAGCAAATGACTGGCCCACGGTGCCTCTGGCAGCCAAAACAGGCTCCTGAAGCACTTTGCCAGGCAAAACGGGGCACGGAGCAGAACTACAATGCTGATCCGCCCCTCGAAGAAATCTAGTTTGACCCTCCTGCCTTATATAGATGGTCCTCGATTTACAACATTGGTGTAGTGACCGTTCAAAGTCCCAACGGCACTGAGAAGAAGAAGAAAAGGGACTTCGGACTTACTGTTGCAGTGTCCCCACCGTCACACGGTCCAAATGTGACTGCTTGGCAACGGACTCCTATCAGTGACGGTTGCAGTGACCTGGGGTCATGTGATTCCCTTTCGCGACCTTCTGGCAAGCCAAGCCCTTGAATCCTCCTAGTTGCTCTTCTCTTCTTTTTCCAAGGTCTCAACATCTCTTCTTTTTTGGGGTGTGTGGGGACCAAAACCGGATGCCGTATTCCAGGTGTGGCCTTAGGTGAAGAGCTGGCGGGAAATCCTGGCTAAAGACAGGCTTGTTACAAACCCTTGAGGAAAGCGCTTCAGGCCATCCAGGCCACACGTAGCGAGCTTCATGTCAGGCGGCCACGCAGAATCCTTGTTGACTGCTTTGTGGAAATCAAAGATATATTACATCCGTAAGCATGCATACCTCCCATCTATGAACTAGCCAGAAAAGAGAATTTGGCAAGACGTGACCAATCCACAATACGACCATGGTTTCAGAATAGGTGTTAAACCCCTCAGCTTGGAGTTTTCTGATTCTCCACGCTTTCCCAAAAGAACAGCTAGTCCTCGACTTAACAGTGGTTCCCTTTAGTGACCATTCAAAGTTACTACGGCCCTGGAAAAAGTAATAATTGACTATCGTTTTCTACGCTCAGGACCATGGCGCCATCCCTGTGCCGTCTGATCAGAATTTAGACCCTTCGCATATGTATGACGGTCGCTGGGTCCGGGGGGATGGTGGTCACGTGAACCCCTTCTGCAACCTTCTGACCAACGGGGACACCACTGAGCTGACCGACTGCAGTGATTCGCTTAACAAACAAAGCCTGCCAGTCAGTTAAGCGGGCCAGAAATGCACAGAATCCTTGTTTCCTTTGCCACAGAAACATCGGGCTCAATCGCGGTCATAAGTGGAGAGATACCTGTGACCCCCCCCCACCCTGCCTTGGGTAGCACCTGGATGACAGGAGGGAACAGCTACTCCAAGGTCCCCTATTGGGAGCAGTTGACTCCAGTCTTGTCTGGATGTGCAAGAACGGGGACTTCCTCTGACCTCCAGAGTCCATATGAGACCACAAAGGACCCTCAGAGGTGGGAGGGGGGCATCCAGTCATTGGTACCCCCCCTCTCCCACCTTTGAGCTCATGGTGCCAACCTTTGGGGAGGGGAGGAGGAAGGCGTCTACACCAGTGATGGACGAGCCAAACAAGGACGCCTGCATCTCGGCCACCACTCCCGCAGCCCTGCCCCGAATAGATCACAGCCTGGGAGGGTGTTGTGAACCCTGTTTTATAGGACTCGATCCAGAAGGGGCTGCTTTCCAAAACTGCCCCCCACCCCCTCCTGTTGGCCCAGAGAACCAGGTGCCCCTTCCTACCTTCCCCAGGTGGGCTGCTTTGGGGCTGGAAGGTCCCCCACTTCCAGCTGGAATCTTCCCCCGTTTTTGGCCCACAGAAGCTCCTGAATGGCACTTCCTGGTTGACCTGAAGGCCACCGTT